GGCCCTGCCCCCCGGGGGCGTAGGTGCGGGGGGGGCGGGACGGGGAGCGGGGGGAGGCGGCGCCGGAGCCCCGGCTGGCGGCAGCCGTGCTTGGGGCGGGGATGAAGCGGACTGAAGCCTTTCATCTCCCTCGCTTTTAGCCTCTCCGAGAGCGCTGCCTCCATCGCAGCTCGCTGCGGGCGGGGGAAGCGCTGCGGGGGCAGCCCCGCCTTAAGCTTCCTCCTGTGGAGACGGTGTTTGAACACCCCAGGGCTCCCTCGGGAAGCGCCTTTGAAGTACCTTCTTCCAGAACACGCAATTCTGGCTGCTTCCTTCCCACAAGGCTGCAGTCCCTGTCCGCCCTCCCGAGCTCCTCTGACCTCTGGGGAACGGACGCGCTGAAGGGCACGGGATGGGGCAAGCACCTCTGGGCCATGCGGGCAGGGTCAGAGCAGCAGGCGCTGGTACCTGTCAATCCGAAGGGTTTGCCTGCATCCCCAGGGCTGTCTGTGCCTGCTGCTCTGCTCCGAGGTGCTCTGGAGCTTCCCTTGCCACCGACCTGTTGGCTGTCTGAGGTGCTTGAAAGTGCTCTTCAGCTTCCCTTAGGGTTTCTGTGGCATCTGGGAGCAGAGGCACCGTGGATGTGGAGAGGAGGGGGATTACTGCAGGCCTGAGGGACTGTATTTGGGTTTGATGCCTGCACCGGTTCGGTTGCAGGCATCTCGGTGGGGAGATGAGCTGCGTCTTGGTTGTACCTGGGGCTTCCCGGTGCCACAAGAACAGGTTAGGATGCTGCAGCTGGGCAATTTCCCAGCTTTCCCTGTGATGCATTTCCAGTAGGCCTTTCTTTCCCCTGACGTGGGCTAATCACCATAGCAGCAGATAAGGTTTTGCTTCAGTTGAAAAAGGCCTGTTTGCACTCCTGAGGTGAACTGGAAGCTCAGCCAGGTTTGGCTTGGAGACTGCTTGGAATGCTGACTGTAAGGTGAGTTGGAAGCCTGACGGACTTCTTGCTCTTGACTCGCAGAGGCTTCAGCTGCGCCTGTGCCTGGGGACTCTGTGCCATTGAGGAGTCAAAGCCACACGTGGATCTTGATTATTGCAGGTATGTGAGACTCTGAGTGTGGCACAGCGTCTTGGACCTGTATCAGTAGCTGCTTTTGCTGGGCTGGGAGGGCTAGGGGAGGCCTTACACCACAGCTTAGTCGTTCCTCTGACTCGGAGGCACTACATCCTTGGAAAGGCAATCTGGCACTAACTCACGTCCTCTTTCTCTGTCCCTTATCCTTGAGGGAAGCTGCTGGTCTCTAGCTGTTGGCTAATGCTGTCGAACGACAGAGCCCAGTGCTGGTGTTCAGATCAGGTGCAGTGAGTGGTTCTCTGCTTGTGCACTCTCCTCTCCAGCGCTCCTGAGCATCCTGGTAGCTGTGGGTTCTGTTGCTGTGTGGGGCCTGTCCAAAGCAAAAAACAGATCTGACATCTTCAGTCTTGAAAAAGCATCCAGGGAACAGCTGATGCCTGACAAGAGCCGGACAGGCTCATTTCCCTAAGGGTAAGTTTCTTGCACTCCGCGCGCTCTGTGTGCATGAGGGGGAAATGCCTTCTTGCCCTGTGTTTCTAGCCTCTAGAGCTTTCCCCTCTGGGGGTAGCTTTTCCCAGCTGTTCCTGCTGCTGGTCAGCCACGTGCTTGGGGTTTCAGCCTGCCCTGAAGCAGCGGAACCCTCCCCTTATCTATCTTCCTTGCAATCAGGCCCGAAGGCTCTCGCTTGACTGCAGGATAGTTGCACAGCCTAGTCTGAGAAGATGCTGGCTTCTTTTGAAGTGATGTGCTGGTCTCTGTCCTTCCTCTGCTGCCAAGGACACTGAGCACTTGTGCTAAGATGCTAATCTTCTGGTGTGGGTTGTTTTAGAATCATGGAATCGTTAAGGTTGGAAAAGACCCTTAAGATCATCGAGTCCAACCGTTAACCCAGCACTGCCAAGTCCACCACGAAACCATGTCCTTACTTTGCACAAACTGAAGTCAAACCAGGTTTTTGCCCAAAGGGCTGTCAATAACCACGTGTTTTTCTGTTCTTCTCACAGAGATCTTTACCATGAGGTGGCAAGATGGGCCTAGCCTGGTCTCCCTCCTGCTCACCACAGAGGCTGACTGAATGCTGACTGAATTGGACCTAAGCTCTCAAATCTGGGTTGTTACACTGGAATACCAAGAGGATGCTCCCCTCGGAAATGGGTCTTGGGTTGTGGGGCTACTTTGTGCTACTGCCAGAGCCAGGACCTCCCCTGGTGCTGTGAAATCAACCCTCACAGAGGTGGTAGAAATTTCTTTATTGTTCTTGCCTCCAGGGGTTGTTAATGCTGATTCTCACCAATGTGGCCTTGGACCCAAAGGTTTTATTCTCCATGAAATGACAGCTGCTGGCTGCTATTCAATGGTTTCCTTCCACTCCCAGCCAAGAGACTCTTCACCTGCCCCGTTCTTCCCCCGGCTTTTGTCAGGGAACAGGGGCTTTCTCAACCATTTCGGCAGGAGCTTGCTGACTCCGCGCAGATCAGACACATACTCCGTGTTTGTGCCGGTGTTCCGACACTGCTCGATCCGATGTACAGGAAGCTTTTACCCACGGGTGAATGCTGAAAAGCTTCCTGTCTGCTCTGGCTTTGCTGCGCTGCTGCCCTGAGTGAGCAGGGGGCAAGCAGCTTCTCGGCACACTCCCTTCCAGCGAGGGCCTCTGCCCCTCGCAGGACTGCACCTTCCACCCCGCTGCCGAGCTCTGGATGTTGCTTCTCTAACGCTGTTCATGGTGTCTTCCTTAAAACTGTTTTGACGTGAGCGGTGTCCCTCAAGGGTCCGTACTGGGACCAGTGCTGTTTAATATCTCCGTCAGTGGTGTCTGTAGTGGGATCGGGTGCGCCCTCAGCGAGTTTGTGGGTGGCACCGAGCTGAGCGGTGCACTTGGTTCACTTGAGGGGGGGACGCCACCCAGAGGGACCTTCAGGCTGGAGGAGTGGGCCCACGTGAGCTCATGAAGCTCAATAAGCTCAAGTGCAAGGTCCTGGACCTTGGTCGGGGCAACTCCTGTAGAAGAGGAGGCTCCGGGGAGACCTTGCTGTGTCTTTTCAATATATAAAGGGGCCTTCTAAAAAAAAATAGAGAGGCTCTTTACCAAGGCCTGTAGTGGCAGGAGAAGGGGCAGCAGTTCTAAACTGAAGGAGGGTAGGTCTCGGTTGGAGATAAGGCAGAGATGTTTTAGCGTGCGGGTGGCGAGGCGCTGGCACAGGCTGCCCAGAGCAGCGGGGGCTGCCCCGTCCCTGGCAGTGTTCAAGGCCGGGCAGGACGGGGCTCTGAGCACCCTGGTCTGGTGGAAGGTGTCCCTCTCCGTGGCAGGGGATGGGAACCAGATGATCTTTAAGGTCCCTTCCAACCCAAACCAGCCGGTGTTTCTATGAGATATTGAGTGTTTGGCTTTTCTTTTTTTTTTTTTTTTTTTTTTTTTTTTTTTCTTTCAGCTTGAAATAACTCACGTCTTGGATCAGACGCTGTGCGTTGTGGCATGGGTGGCTCTTTCCGAACAGCTCTGCTGTACGCTTTTCAGAACTGGCGCTGCGGGAGGAGATTACTGCCCAGCGCCTCTGGTTCGGTGCTCGCCACGCACTCCTTGCACCAGTGTTCACTAAGTGCACGGAAGATAGGAAGCTGCTGCTTTGGCTGCTGATCTCTGTGCCTTAAAGGTGCCAACTTGGCTTGCAAAGCAGACACCGGTCAGCAGCCTTAGAGCAGGAGTCTTCCACTCCTGGGTAGCGTGCGAGCGTGCTGCTGTACCCCACAGGAGAAACTTCGACACGTGGTAGGGAGTACCGAGTTATTCCAGTGCGGTACCAAGAGGGTGCACACAGCCTTGCTTCTGTTTCCACAGGGCCAAGTGGAGATAGCTGTTGAATGACACAGGAGAATAAAGAACTTGAAGCTAGTGAGTTCTGGATTTTTTTATTTTTCTTGCATTTGTGCATTTGCTTGAATTGTAGTCGGGAGGCCGAGGGCTGCGTCCCCTTTGTCACATCCTGGGAAAGAGCGGTGGGTGGGCTGGCGTGGGCAGGCAGGGGCAGCGAGTGCTGCGGTGCCTGCCCGGGACTGGAGTGTCCCTCGCGTGCCAGCCCTAACAGAAACATGAAACGCAGGGAGCGGAGTGGGTGGAGGCAAGAGAAAGAGCTGGCGCTGGCACCCGGGGTGCTGCTGCGGAGTAGATGACAAGGGGGGAAGCTCAGCCAAGAGCGAGGTGACAAACTCCAGACTGTGTGAGCTTGTTCCTTCTTCGCTGGAGCAAGTGAAAGGAGCGGGGCGCCCAGCGGAGCGGGAAGGTGCCTCGGAGACCCCAGCAGGGCTGGTGGAAGTGCTTGTGCTGCCAGGGCCCGGCGGCGGCGGGCGGCTGTCACCAGCCTGTCCCCGATCGTCCTCAGCTCCCGCTGAGCCGGGACGTGCTGTCCTGTTACGCAGGGCAGAGCCCCCTGTGCTGTGTGATGGGGAACGAGGCTGGTGGGTAAACTCGCCAGTCGCAGCCTTCTCCCGCTGCAAGATCATGCAGGTTTTGCTTACTTATCCCTGAGCTGAGTGTTTCAAGGTTGAACGAAACACATTTTTATGGCTCTTGTGCCAAAACTTGGGGCTGTGTTTGTGACAGCAATTTCCCTTCCTCTGTCTGGTGCCAGAAGCTTTTTTGTTGTCCTAATCCCCAGGCTCGGAGCCTTCGATCACAGTGGAGCCTGAGCTGCTTTGCAGCCTAGGAGCAGCTTTGTGCTCCAGGTCTCTGTATTTAATTAGATCAGTTCATGGGACTGAGGTAGGGCTGTGTTCCAGCATAAGGCATCAAAGATCAGCCCGTTTTGGTTCTTTTTCACTTGCGAATCCAAGGGATTATTTCCTCCTCTTCAGTTCCTGTAGTTCAGGAGAACTTGTACGGCACGCTTGCGTTTCCCACGTCCCGTTTCTCGTTCCTGCCCCTGCTTGTGGGAGCGGTGGGGCTGAGGGCCGGCGCCATGAGCAGGGGGCATGGGGCAGCGGTGCGGGAGCAACCTGTCCCGCTGGGGATCCACTCAGGTGCTGGTTGGATGGTTCCTTCACCTCTTCCCCTCTAAATCCCTGCTGCGGGGTTTTGCGGGATGAGCTGGGAGGTAACAACCGGTTCCCTTCTCTGGGCTGCGACGGCCGATGGAGCAGGGGAAGCTGCATTAGCGCTCGCGTGCTTAACAAACGACTGGTGCCAAGGGCAGCATCTGTTGTGGGGGTGACACAAATCCTGCATGTCGGCCCCTCTCTGTGCCTGCCAAGGGAGGTCTTAAATCGGGGCAAGGTCATGCTCTCTTTCCAACTTGCTACCCCGATGCCCCCCTTGGAAACAGGGTAACGTGATAAACGCAAACAGCTAATAAGAACGGAGCAAGGGAAAAGAGTAGTGCAGAGCTGGGAATAGTTCCTTACGTAAAGGGCTAGTGCTTCAATCTCATTATTGTCTTAAGGAGCGGACACTTAGCTGCCTCCGACCCCTCCGATGCAAACTGCAATCTGATAAGCAATCGGCTTTGGGAACCTGGCAGGTGCCACGTGGCGCCGTGACGCGGCCGGTGCCCCTCGGGCAGCAGCTCGCCGCTGCTCCTCTGAGCTCGCAGTACTCGTCCCAGTCAGCGTACGCCTGGTGGGAGCGTTCCCATGGAGCCGGAGCTGCTGTCCCGCGGCCTGTAACGGGAATCGCTGCTTCGGAGGGTCAGGCACGATGAGGGAGCTGGGGACGAGGCGTGCGAGTCTCTCTGCCAGCCTGAAGATAGGGGATCGCCGGGGCCGCTGCCGGACACCGGAGGAAGAGGAAGCCCACATCCCGTTTGCGCAGGACAGCCTGGTCAAGCAATGGAGCTCCATGCAGAACGTGACGGACGGAAACCAGGAGAAAAGCAAGACTCCCATCCAAAGGAACAAGTACTTGCTCAACATCAACGTGGGTGGCAAATTGTTCCAGATAGCTTGCAAGGTAGCGGCCCGGTATCCCGTCACCAGGCTTGGGAAGCTGGCCCTTTATACAGACCCTATGAAGAAAATGCAGCTCTGCGATGACTACTCCGTGCAGAAGAATGAGTACTTCTTTGATAGAGATCCTTCGATTTTCCACTACATCTTCCACTTCTACCGCAGCGGGGTCCTGTGGATAATGGATGAGATGTGCCCCAGTCACTTTGTGGAGGAAATCGAGTACTGGGGAATCCATCTGAAATACTCCCAACGCTGCTGCCGGATCCTGTTTGAGGAAAAGCAAGATGAACTCAGTGAGTACCTAAAAATACAGAAGGAGCTGGAGGCAGAACTGGAGCCCCTGGACTCCGCGGAGCAGTTCGAGGGCAAATTTCTGGGACGGTTTCGGAAGATGATCTGGAACCTTATTGAGAACCCGTACTCTTCCGTCCCAGCCAAGATCATTGCTGTCATGTCAAGCGTCTTTGTGCTTATCTCCATCGTGGGCATGACGCTGAGCACAGTGGAGGAGATGAAACACAAGACAGGGAAGATGTGGATGGAGCAGATGGAGATGATCTGTGCCATCTTCTTCACCTCCGAATACGTCATGCGGCTCATATCCTCTTCCAGCTTCAAGAACTTTTTGCGGGCAGCGTTTAATGCTGTAGACCTGGTGGCCATCCTGCCCTTCTACATCCAGATCCTCTTTGAAAATCTGGATGAAGGAGAAACGCTTTACCATGAGGAACTGCACAAGGTGGAGAATGTGAGCAAGCTGGGCAAAGTCCTCAAGCTCATCAAGCTCATGAGGATCTTCCGCATCCTCAAGCTGGCGCGCCACTCCACCGGCCTCCGGGCCTTCGGCTTCACCATACGCCAGTGCTACCAGCAGGTTTGCTGCCTCTTCCTCTTCATCGCCATGGGGGTCTTCACCTTCTCCGCTCTCATGCATTCGGTGGAACACGATGTCCCAGGCACCAACTTCACCAGTATCCCCTACGCGTGGTGGTGGGCAGCGGTAAGGTGTAAGCACCTTCTTCCAGAGAGGGGTGCAGTGGGGGTCCCCGGGTAGGGGCTGCCCCGGTGCTCGAGGGATTCACCACTGCTGCTGGCCAGGAGGCAGAAAAGGGCCCAGTCTTCCCACCAGCTCAGGAATGGTGGGAAATCCAGAGCCCTGCACGCTCTAAGAAACCAGAGATTTGGGCTAAGCTCAGAGGCTGAAAAGCCGGTTGGGATGGTGGGACAGGGGGAGGTAACTCAGCCCAGGCGTTATCTGCCGTGGGACCCACGTGTTGGGTGGATACGGTTCAGCCCCCACGGGCACGGGGGCGGCCGCCCGGGACAGCCTGAGGCTTGTGCAGCGTTGCAGTCAGCTGGGCGCGAGAGGCACGAGGGGCTCAGAGCTCATGGGGCTGAGCCGGGGGACCCAGGGCTGCATGCGGGAACCAAGGAAACGTGGTCACCCCGCGCCTCAGCCCGCGTCCCGAGAGAGGACAGAGACTGGGGTGTGCTGCAGCCGGGGCAGGAGCCCTTTGCTGCCCTGCTGGTGCCAGCAGCTCAGCTCTGCTGAGCCGAGCGCTATAATAAACCTGGGATTAGCGCCGAGAGGAGGAGCAGCTAAAGCACTTCAGAGCCAGGGGTTACGAGGGCATTTTGATTGACGGATGAAATGATCCCACAGATCACTGCTGCTCTTATAATCTCCCTTGGCCACCACAGGCTGCCTGCTTCAAATTCATTCCTCCTCGAGGAAGTGCAAAATCACTTAGCAAAAATCACCGGATTCCAGTATTTAAATGTCACAGGCAGATCCTGTCCCCGGTCAGCACGGCTCTGTGCAAAGCCCGGACCCCTCTGCCTCAGCTCTCACCACATCCCTGCAGTCCTGCTCCCGTCATCTGAACGCGGTTACTCCGGGTGCATTCCTGGGCAGCGCCTCTGTTTCCCTTGGAGCGAGGATCCGGGAAGCTTCGTTCCTGTGGGACCAGGCAGCTTACGGCCAGGAAGCACCGGAGCCACGGCTCGTGGGGCAGGAAGCTCCAGCAGACAGCCTGGCTGCTGGGAAAGTTCGGCTCCGCGACAGCCAGCTGCTTTTGAAGAGACACATGAAGGGGAGGAGGGAGCAGGGAGGCTTGCCTCTGGTCTCTGCTGCTGGGGCCTCATCCAGCCCTTTCCTTGGGCTCTCCACGCCTGCGGGGTGCAGCCCGGGGAGCTGAGCCCTGGCTGTGCAGGGACGGCCGCGCTGGCTGCAGCCCAGATGCAGTGCTGTTCCTGGGCGATACCCGGCTCCCACGCTGGGGCAGAGGGAGGTGGGTCCCAGCGCTGGCCGGTGGGGTCTGCTGGGCTTGTTCCCATAGGATTTTATCCTTTCCCTTCCTCGCCCAGGTCAGCCTCTCCACTGTGGGCTACGGAGACACTGTGCCCGACACGGTGCTCGGCAGGATGGTGGCGTTCGGCTGCATCTCCTTTGGCATCATCCTCAACGGCATGCCCATCTCCATCCTCTACAACAAGTTTTCTGACTACTACGCCAAGCTGAAGGCCCACGAGGACGAGACCAGCCAGTCGCTCAAGCTCTCCAGGAGGATCTGCTTGAAGGAGCGAGTCCTGCGGAAGCTGTCGGAGTGCTGCAGAGCCAACCCCCGCTGCCACCACTGACCACCAGCCCTTCACCCCCCGGATGCCCCTTCCGCCATGGCGCGTCCTGCCCTCCCTCCCGTGGATCCTGTCCCCTAGGGAGGCTCCGCCGCTCCGGCAGCGAGTCACAGCAGCGTCTGGGGGCTCTGCTGTCGTACAGGTGCCGCCGCCAGCTCGGGCCGTTTGGAGGGATGAAACATGGCCGTGACCGTGTTGTGACCTTCCTCGACATCATGTGCTGGACCTTGCTGTCCCGCAGAGCGGCCGGTAAAGGACCAGCTAAAGAGCGCGCTGTAGAGCCAGGCAGGACGTCCGTCTGTCAAAGTCTGGGGCATGGGGCACCCCGAGGACACAGGGAGCGAGCGGTGGGATGCGTGGGGAGGAACCCTGTCACCTTTCTAAGGATGGTGGAAGTGGACATCCGTGATAAGATGAAGCCCAGTGCGACACCTGCGCGGGTGCGGCTCTGCTCCCGGGTTGAGCGGGACACGCACAGGCACCCCCCGCCAGGCAGTGGCCCGGGACCCCGTGACTCCTTCCCAGCCGAACGGGCGTTCAGCCCAGGCTGAGCCCAGCGTGGGACTGGGTGAAGGCCCACAGAAAAGGCTGCAGCCGTGCGTCCTTCCAGCCAAGCCCTCTTTCCTTCCTGCTGCCCTGGGACCCTGGGGGCACGGTCCTGGCTCGGGATGCCACCGCGATGGGAACCACGGGCACCCTGGGAGCGCAGAGCTGGCAGCCAGAGCATCCCCAGGACCAGGCATTTAATAAACTGGGCCAAACCCATTCAGTGTCTTGGATTATTGGCCAGCCACTTTGTGTAATTCAGTAAACTGCTTGTAATTCAGGGGTGAGGAGGGGAATGTCTCCCCAGGGCTCACCACGACCTCTCCTGCCCGTCGGTGGGAGGACGGGGCTCTCGTGGGATGCAGGTGAGCCTGGCTGCATGCTGGTTTTGGGATGAGGTGCCTGGCCCTGGGTGCATCGGAAGA